ATTATTATTACTATTCCTTCCTATACTCCGGTCTTCAGATCGGGCGCCGCCTTGTACGTAGCTATGGGTGCCACTGATCTTACCAATGCAAATGACCCTTCTCTCCAGTTGATTCAAGTTGCCTCGATAGATGTGGTGAGTAAAAAATAGAGGTGGGAGGTTGTAGATGCTTTGAGTGAAAAACACGAGGTGGTGGTGGTGGGATAAAGGAGAAGGGTTGGAGTAGGAAAAGGGAGGGGGGAGGAATGGATGTTGTGAGTAACAGGGCAGGGGAAATGGGGAGTAAATGTGTGAAGGGAAGGGTGCGGAGTGGTGGTTGCGATGAGTAAATAGAAAATGTGGGAAATGACGGAAAGGGGAAAGATGGGGGATGGATGTTGTGAGGAAAGGGGAAGGGGTGAAGGAAAGGGAAAAAATGGGGGGGGGGGGGGGGGGGGGGGAGGGGGGGGGTTAAAAAAAAAAAGGGGGGGGGGGGGGGGGTCAGAGAGTAAGTGGAGCTTATAAATGAATGTGGGGGATGGGATGGGTGTGGATGAGTTCGATGTGTAAATAGGAGCTGGGTGGATGGGAGGACGGAGGTAAGGATATTTGTGAATATCTAGGTTGGGAGGAGGATGGATGTTGTCTGCAAAATCATACGGTTAAAATGAGGTACAACCCCTTCCCTCATTCCCACCATATAGTATAACAACAAAACTAATTACCTGTAGCTTACAACAACTCTTTAGAGAAGCTTAGTGTTAATTTCAATGGTGGTCACTGAAATCAAAACAAAATATACAAAAGAATATCATTTAAAAGTGAGAACACTTTCCTATCAACAAATCTTTGCATTCTCATCCCTCGAAGGCTGTGTGGAAGACTCCAACAAATGCTAATTTGTAAAAATTATGTCAGCTATAGACGTGTATCTAGCTATCAAATCGTGGTCAGAATGCTCCTCGTTTTGATTTTGCCCCGTTTTTATTTCCCCTTTGATTCATCATTAATTGCTTATCGCCAGTCGCCTTTTCAAATGTACTAGGCCCAAAACATTGATTCCTTTTTTTCAGTTCCTCAATCTATGATACGGATTGCATGTATTACTATTAGGGAAATAATTGATTGAAGTTCTATTTAAAGCACAATCTAAAAAAAATATGTAACAGTTTTTATCTCTCCCCTGAAAAATTTTCTGCCAAGAATGAACGCCTAAACGCTTCTATCCCATTTCCCCCCAGCACACACTCTACCGTGACAATGGTTATGACTACGACATAGCAATGCTCACGCTCAGCAGCAGAATGACCATCACAAGAAAGGTACAGACCATTAGGTTGGCCAACTTCTTCGATGGTCTCGGTGGGACAGACTGCATTTTGTCTGGCTATGGGAGAACTATTAATGGAGGTAGGTCTCTACATCTATACTGTTTTGTTGCCACTGTTAATGGAGGTAGGTCTCTACATCTATACTGTTTTGTTTTCATTGATAATGGAGGTAGGTCTCTACATCTATACTGTTTTGTTGCCACTGTTAATGGAGGTATGTCTCTACATCTATACTGTTTTGTTGTCACTGTTAATGGAGGTAGGTCTCTACATCTATACTGTTGTGTTGTCACTGTTAATGGAGGTAGGTCTCTACATCTATACTGTTTTGTTGCCACCGTTAATGGAGGTAGGTCTCTACATCTATACAGTTTTGTTGTCACTGTTAATGGAGGTAGGTCTCAACATCTATACTGTTTTGTTGACACTGTTAATGGAGGTAGGTCTCTACATCTATACTGTTTTGTTGTCATTGTTAATGGAGGTAGGTCTCTACATCTATACTGTTTTGTTGTCGGTCTTGTTTATACTCTCTATTTTCTGTTATTGCTGATGTTGTTGTTGTTGCTGCTGCAGCTGCTGCTGCTGCTGCTGTTGTTGTTGTTGTTGTACTGATTGTCATTGTAGTTGTTGCTGTTGTCCGTGTTGTAGTTTTTATGCTCTTTGGTGTTGTTTCTGTTATTATAGTTGTTGTTGCTCCTGCTGCTATCAATGCTGTTCTACGAGATTTTAACATTACTTTTTATGTGTTATTGTTAGTATTGTCATTGTTGTTGTCGTTTTTTGCGGGTTTTTTTATATTTATTGCAGTCGTTGTTGTTGATGCCGTTTTCATTAAAACAGATGTTATTGTCATCGTTGTTATTATTATAATTGTAGTTATGCCAATACTATCATTTTCACGTTTCTATAATAACTCACCCAATATCATTTCTATTCACAACTAATGTTTGTATTCGTGTCAACTCCCCCCCCCCACCCCCACCCCTCACACACACGCACACACTCCCTACGACACAACCACTCCCACCACCACCCCCTCTTCCACTGCTAATGTTTGTAATTAAGTCATTCCCCACCACCACGCTCTTCACTACTAATGTTTGTACGTATGTCACGCCCTCCTGCACACCCCACTCGCTGCGACACAACCCCACCCCACCTCCTCTTCAGTACTTATGTTTGTATTTATGCCATCCCTCCACCCCAACCCCACCGCCCTCCCCCGTCTCAGGTCCTACATCGCCAGTACTCCAGTTCGCCCGCTTCAAAGTCTACCGGCTTAACGACTGCATTGACTGGTGGATCCGGGCAACAGGTCAAAACCTGGTCAACTACAGAGAAGTTTGCATAATTAGCTCAGTTTCCAGTGGTTGTCAGGTAGAGTATTTAAAAAGGGAAAGAAAATAATAATATTAATCTAAATATCCGGTACTGTTGGTACGGACGTTTTTGTTACTTAAAAAAAAAAAGAAATCACACATGTTCAGACTTCAAAATTTAAACGAAGATAGCTAATTGATGATATCGTTTTGCTTTCTAGTTTCGAGAATTCGAGCTCAAATATTTCTTCTTCTTTTTTCTCTTCTTCTTCTTCTTCTTCTTCTTCTTCTTCTTCTTCTTCTTCTTCTTCTTC